CATCAGGCTCTCAGCTGACTTGTCAACAGAAACACTACAGGCAAGAAGGGAATGGCATGAAGTAATCAAGGTCATGAAAAACAAGGATCTGAATCCAAGACTACTCTACCCAGCAAGGCTATCATTCAAAATAGAAGGTCAAATAAAGAGCTTATCAGACAAAAAAAAAGGCTAAGGGAATACATTAGCACCAAACCAGCACTGCAAGAAATGTTAAAAGGAGAAATAAGAAGAAAAATATAACCACACTAAACAAAAATGGCAATAAATAAGTACATATCAATAATCACCTTAAATGTAAATGGATTGAATGCTCCCATAAAAAGACACAGAGCAGCTGATTGGATAAGAAAGCGTGACTCATCTATATGTTGCTTACAAGAGACCCACCTCACAACAAAAGACTCACATAGGTTGAAGGTGAAGGGATGGAAAAAAATCTTCCAAGCAAACGGAAAGAAAAAAAGCTGGGGTAGCAATACTCATAGATTTCAAAATGAAGGTCATAACTAGAGACAAAGAAGGCCACTACATAATTTTGAAAGGATCTATCCAACAGGAAGATATAACCTTGATAAACATATATGTACCCAATATAGGAGCACAAAAATATATTAAAAATCTTCTGGAGGACTTCAAAGGAGAAATCGATAGCAATACAATCATAGCAGGAGACTTCAACACCCTGCTGACATCACTAGATAGATCCTCTGGACAAAAAATTAGCAAGGCAACAGAGATGCGAAATGAAACACTAGACCAAATAAATTTAATAGATATCTACAGAGAATTGCACCCCAAATTAGAGAATTCACATTCTTCTCAAGTGCACATGAGACATTCTCAAAGATAGACCACATGTTAGGACACAAACTAAGTCTCTACAAGTTCAAGAAGATTGAAATCAAATCAAGCATCTTCTCAGATCACAATGGCATGAAACTAGAAATCAATTGCAACAAGAACATGCAAAGACATTTGAACACATGGAGACTAAATAGCATGTTAATAAACAATGAATGGGTTACCGAGGAGTTCAAGGAAGAAATTAAAAACTTCCTGGAAACCAGTGAAAATGAACACACAACACAAAATCTATGGGATGCAGTGAAAGCAGTTCTGAGAGGGAAGTTCATAGCACTACAGGCCTCCCTCAAAAAACAAGAAAATTTCTAATAGACTATCTAACCTCACAACTTAAAGAACTAAAAAGCAAACATAAAGAAAACCCCAGAGCAAGTAGAAGGGAGGAAATAGTAAGATCAGAGAAGAAATAAATGACAGAGACCAAAAACAATTCAAAGGATCAATGAAAGAAAGAGCTGGTTTTTTGAAAAAATAAACAAGATTGATGGACCCTTAGCTAGACTCACCAAGAAACAAAAAGAGAGAACCCAAATACACAAAATCAGAAATGAAAGAGAAGTAACAACTAACATAACAGAAATATAAAAGATCGTTAACAACTACTATGAACAATTATATGGCAACAAATTCAACAATCTAAGCAAAATGGATAAATTTCTAGAAACACATAGTCTCCCAAAACTGGACCCAGAAGAGATAGAAAACTTGAACAGGCCAATAACAACTAAGGAAATTGAAGAGGTAATCAAGACTGTCCCAGCAAACAGCCCAGGCCTGGAGGGCTTCATGGGGGAGTTTTACCGAACAAAGAAGAACTAACACCCATTCTCCTCAAACTATTTCAAAAAGTTCAAGAAGAAGGAAGACTTCCAAACTCGTTTTATGAGGCCAGCATAATTCTAATTCCAAAACCAGAAAAAGACACTACAAAGAAAGAAAACTATAAGCCAATATCCTTGATGAACATAGATGCCAAATCCTGAACAAAATACTAGCAAATCAGATCCAGCAATACATCAAAAAAATTATTCACCATGACCAAGTGGGATTCAACCAAGGAATGCAAGGCGGGTACAATATTTGTAAATCAATAAATGTGATACACCACATAAATAAATTGAAAGATAAAAACCACATGATCATATCAATAGATGCTGAAAAAGCCTTCGACAAAATCCAGCATCAATTTCTGATAAAAATGCTCAGCAATGTGGGAATAGAGGGATCATATCTCGACATAATAAAGGCCATATATGAAAGACCTACAGCCAACATCATACTCAATGGGCAGAAACTAAAAGCATTTCCCTTAAGAACAGGAACAAGACAGGGATGCCCACTTTTGCCACTCTTATTTAACATAGTGCTGGAAGTCTTAACCACAGCAATCAGACAGGAAGAAAAAATAAAAGGGATCCAAATTGGAAAAGAGAAAGTGAAACTGTCATTATTTGCAGATGACATGATATTATACATAGAAAACCCTAAAGACTCCATCAAAAATCTACTAGACTTAATAAATGAATTTGGCAAAGTAGCAGGATACAAAATTAATGTCAAGAAATCGACGGCATTCTTATACACCAATGTTGAACTCGCAGAAAGAGAAACTGAAAAAACAATCCCATTTACCACCGCAACAAAAAAAATTAAGATACCTAGGAATAAACTTAACCAAAGAAGTAAAGGGCCTATTTGCAAAAAACTACAGATCATTGAAAAAAGAAATAGAGGAAGATATAAAAAAGTGGAAGCACATACCTGTTCATGGATTGGAAGAATTAACATCTTTGAAATGTCCATATTACCCAAAGCAATCTATAGATTCAATGCAATCCCCATCAAAATACCAACGACATATTTCACAGAACTAGAACAAATACTTCAAAAGTTCATATGGAACCCAAAAAGACCCCGAATACCCACAGGAATCTTGAAAAATAAAGACAAAGTAAGTGGGATCACAATACCAGATATCAGGTTATACTACAAAGCTATTATAATCAAAACAGCCTGGTACTGGCACAAGAACAGGCATATAGACCAATGGAACAGAACAGAGAACCCAGAAGTGGACCCACGACATTATGCTCAATTAATATTTAACAAAGGGGGCAAGAGCAGACAATGGAGTAAAGACAGCCTCTGTAATAAATGGTGTTGAAAAAATTGGACAGCTACATGCAAAAAAATGAAACTAGATCATCAACTTACACCATCCACAAGAATAAACTCAAAATGGATAAAAGACTTAAATGTGACCCGTGAATCCATACAAATCCTAGAAGAAAATGTAGGCAACAAAATTTCAGACATCATACGCAGCAGAATTTTCACTGATAGATCACCTCAGGCAACAGAAACAAAGAAAAAAATAAACACATGCGACTACTTCAAACTAAAAAGCTTCTGCCCAGTAAAAGAAACAACCATCAAAATGGAAAGGCAACACACTGTATGGGAGAACATCATTGCTAACGATATATCAGATAAGGGGTTAATTTCCAAAATATATAGAGTACTCATACAACTCAACAAAAGGAAGACAAAGAACGTAATTAAAAAATGGGCAGAGGGCCCTGGCCGGTTTGGCTCAGTGGTTAGAGCGTCAGCCTGCGGTCCATAGAGACCCAGGTTCGGTTCCAGCTAAGGGCGCATACTTGGTTGCAGTTTGTCCCCGGCTGCGGTTGGTCGTGAGGGTGGCAGCCACTCGATGTGTCTCTTTCACATTGATATCTCTCTCTCTCTCTCTCTCTCTCTCTTCCTCTCTTCCTCTCTCTCCCTCCCACTCTATCTGAACAAAAAAATGGAAAAATGTCCTCAGGTGAGAATTAAAAAAACAAAACAAAAAATGGGCAGAGGAGCTGAATAAACACCTCTCCAAACAGGACATACAAATGGCCAAGAGACACATGAAGAAATGCTCAACATCACTAATCATCAGAGAGATGCAAATTAAAACAACAATGAGGTATCACCTCACACCTGTCAGAATGGCCGCCATCAACAAATCATCAAACAACAAGTGTTGGTGAGGGTGTGGAGAAAAGGGGACTCTAGTACACTGCTGGTGGGAATGCAGACAGGTGCAGCCACTATAGAAAGCAGTATGGTGTTACCTCAAAAAATTAAAAATTGAACTGCCATTTGACCTAGTGATCCCACTTCTAGGAATATACCCTAAGAAACCTGAGACACCAATCATAAAGAATATATATACCCCCATGTTCGTAGCAGCACTATTTACAACAGCTAAGATCTGGAAACAGCCCAGTGTCCACCAGTAGACGAATGGATAAAAAAGCAGTGGTACATATACACAATGGAGTCCTATGCAGCTGCAAGAAAGAAAGATCTCTTATCCTTTGAGACGACATGGAGGGACCTGGAAAGTATGATCCTAAGCGAAACAAGCCAAGCAGAAAAAGACAAATACCACATGATCTCACTTATTTGTGGTATATAATGAACATTACAGTCTGAGACCCAGAGACATGGAAGTAGGGTACAGACTGACAACCCTCAGAAGAGGGGGTGGTGGGAGGAGGAAGAGATAAACCTCAGAACTTATATGCATGTACACATAACCAATCGACATGGGCAACAAAGCTGGGGATGGGGTGAGGGGGATGGGGAGGACAGTGTCAATGGGGGTAAAAAAGGAGAAACATCTGTAACAAAAAGAAAAGAAAAAGAAAAGAAAATGTGAAGCCACATGGTTGGATTCCTAAAGCTTTTGTCAAGCACTGTCAGGTGGACTGGAGGTTGGGAAGTGAGGGATCAAGGTCCAGCCAGCACTGCACTTAGACCTTTGGAATAGAAAGTAGGCCTGAGAAGTCCAAGTTGCAAGCAAGCAGGAGGGTTGAGCAAGAAGCTGACATAGGCAGACAGGGTTCGAGTGCAGTTCCCTTACTTAGCCATCTGCCTCCCTCTCAGCCTCGGTTTTCTTAGTGAAATGGGAACAGGAGTTCTCTGCGAAGATTGCTTAAGGTAACCTATGTAAAAGGCCCTGACATAGGACCGATTTCTGTTTGGGTCTTTCTGGAAGCAGCAGGGGAGAGTCAAAGCCTTCACAGCAGGCGGGCGAGTCCAGCCTCTCCGACCCCAGTCTGGAGGCGACCCGAGCCCATTACCTGATTTGGTTGAACGGTGGATTTCGGAGGCGAATCATCGCCAGGCAGTTCCGCAACCGCGAATACTCGGCCATGTTTCCCCGGTGCCAGGGTCGCCTCCGCCCCGGCCGCAGGGCTATGCTCCTTACCCCGCGCCCGGCCGGCCCCGCGAGGAGGGGCGCCCGCTGGGCCAATGCGAGCCCAGCGCCGCCTCCAGCCGCCTGCAGGCTCCCGACCTACCGGCGCCCATCTCCCGTCGCAGCTCTACCCCGTTTCCCGGACCCCAGACCCGGGCTCTGCAAGCTCTCATCCTCGCTTTCTCTTTATTGGCGTCCCCACCTGCTCCCATCTCTAAATCGATCACAGAAGGGAGGACAATGGGAAATGGGTGGAACTGCCAGCAAATCGGGGTTTGCAATCCCCTGGTCCACTTGGAAGAGTCAGACATAAGTCATTTCTCATCTGTCTCCCTAGTTTCAGTTGAGCACGAAACTTTCTGCTTTGCGAGCCCCCACCCCCACCACCCCCATTCCACCTCTTAGGCAAACTTCTGCAAAATGTAAAGTTTAAGAGGGCGCTCACTCTCAGGTTCCTGCAAGTGCTGACCTTGTCTTGGTCCTCAACGACACAAAGACCCAAGGGTTCCCGTCATCTGTCATCTAGCCCTCCTGTTTAGTCACCCTGTGGGAGCAGGGACCCGGGGAGCTGATACCACGCTGATCTTTCTTTTGCTGTTTGTGCAAGTAATAAACTGCCTGAGTCTATTCTGGGCTGCTACGGGCCAAATCGAAGTGTGGCAAGCCAATTGAGCAGATGCTACCATGCTGCTGCAGCTTAGGCACCCGTTTGCCTGTTGACAGTCTCATGATCCTTGTGATGAATTGTTGTTATATTCTCAGATTGTCTTCTCATTCAATTTGTCTCAATAAGTGCTACTTAACAGGGTGCTTTGCATGTTACTGCTTTTGCTTGTTAAAATGTCGTTTTAATTGTTGTCATTGGGTTGCAGTTCACGAAAATTGGTCAGTTGATCAGAAGTGGTTCATTAAAGTTTAAAAGAATATAAATATAGAAGTTTTGTGCTGGAACATGCAAATATGTACTCACACCAAGAACAGAGATGGCTACCTAAACGTGACTTTCTCTGCATCAGTCATCCATTAGCCCCGGAACTAGGATGTTGTGCTGTGAAGCTTCATCTGATAGTGGCATGAAGCCATCAGAGCTGATAGACCGATCAAATTTTTCTGGAACAAATGCAAAATATTGTTTTGCAGCTGGAGTGATAATATCTTTCATATACTCTCTTTCCCCTTTCACTATGGGATACAAATGGACGCAAGGCCCCAGAGGAGAACAGACCAGACATAGAACCCTGACTTGGCATGATGGAGGAGACGTGCCTTGCTGACTGAACCAACATGGACTGTTACAGGAGAAAGAAATTTTTGTTAAAAAATTTCAACCTCTGGCCCTGGCCGGTTTGGCTCAGCGGTTAGAGCGTTGGCCTGCGGTCCCGAGAAACCCGGGTTCGGTTCCCGCTAAGGGCATGTACCTCGGTTGCAGTTTGTCCCCGGCTCTGGTCAGTCGTGCGGGTGGCAGCCACTCGATGTGTCCCTTCACGTCGATGTTTCTCTCTCTCTCTGTTCCTCTCTCCCCCTCCCACTCTACCTGAACAAAAAATGGAAAAATGTCCTCAGGTGAGGATAAAAAAATAAAAAATAAAAAATTTCAACCTCTGCTTATATAGTGAAAAAATGAGCAGTCACTCTTCTACAGTGAAGGTGGCTGACATTTGAGGAGAAAAGCTGCTCACATAAGTGTTGAAATAAAAGACGGGATATAAACAATTTCTCTACTATACCAATCTCTGTAATGACAATTTCTATAATTTTATTCTTTAAAAAAATTTTTTTTTCTTTATTGATTTTAGAGAGAAAGGAAAGGAGAGGAAGAGAAAGATAGAAACATCGATGAGACAGAACATTGACTGGCTGCCTCCTGCATGCCCCCCACTGGAGATCAGGCCCACAACCTGGGCATGTGCTCTGGCCAGGAATCAAACCAGCGATCTCTTGGTGCATGGGTCAACGCTCAATCACTGAGCCATACCAGCCTACCACAATTTCTGTTAATTTCAAGCGACTTGTTCAAGGGTTGAGCCTTGGAGATATATACACACTCATGTACACACATGTATATTCAGTATCTTAATGATGAAGATAAGCTATCAATATTCCTAAAGAAGACACAAATGTAGCCATGACTGGGTTGCTCAGTTGGTTGGAGCGTTGTCCTGTACACCAAAAGCTTTCAGGTTTGTTTCCCGGTCAGGGAACATACCTAGGTTGCTGGTCAGATCCCCATGTTGTAGCATGTATCAATACTTCATTTCTTTTTATTACTGAATAATAGTTCATTGTGTGTGTGTGTGTGTGTGTGTGTGTGTGTGTGTGTATACCACACACCACATTTTGTTTTTCCATTGATCAACTGGATATTTAGGCTGTTTCCATTTTTTGGCTAATATGAATGATGCTGGTATGAACAATTCATGTAAATGTTTTTGTCTAAACTATGTTTTTAATTATCTTGGGTATATACCTAGGATTAGAATTGTTTGATCATATGGTAACACTATGTTTAACTTTGCGAGGAACTGCTAAACTGTCTCCACTTGGCATATAAATACATAAGGCAATGTATGAGCTTTCCAATTCTCCACATCTTTGTCAATATTTGCTATCCATTTTAAAAATTCTTATTAGGCTAGTTGTTCTTAAATGAGTTATATTATAACTTTCTTTGTCACGAAGTGTGGTCTTCTCCCTTTTGAGTGAATACACATTTAGAATATGTCTGGTTTATGAAAAACACTCAGTAAAACTAGTCATATTATTAGCTATTATTAGTCTTATGTTCCTTTGAGAGGAATCAAATTGAATTACGTCTTTCCTCTGGGATTATATTCCCATCTGCTTTGAATAATAAACAGGATTCAAACTAATATACCATGATTGTTATGGTCAAAGTAAAACAGGAGGTATAACTCATACCTCCATTAACAGAATCATCAAATGTTCTAGCATCTGTTCTTAATTTCTAGGTTTTCCCATCAAAGTGCCTTGATTTTAAGCCTAAAGATTATGCCAACATGATTATAGCTTTGAAAAATCCCAAAGAAAAGGAAAGGGGCCATAAGACTAAGGATGGGCAAATGTTTTGATTTTTGAATAAGCCAAGAGATGATAAAAGATGTTGTAGACTGGTGAGTTTTAAATCAATACCTTATGAAATTTTGGAATAATTCATTAATGAGATGGTTTGTGAAAAGGAAGTTGTGATTATCAAAGCTATATTGTGTCCACTAAGAACAAGATATGTCAAATTAATTTTATTTCAGTTTCTGAGAGGATTAATACATCGGAAATTAAAAGAAATGTATTGAGATTCCTAGAGAGATTTAACAAGGAATGGAATCTTGACACAGGATACGCTAAGGACCTATACTCACTCTGGAGCTTCCTCCCACATTGGCTGAGGCTTCCTTGGACCTGAATAGTAGTTCAACTTCTTCCTCTGACCAACCCTACTTCCTGTGCAATTCTAATAAAAATCTTTCTCCCCAACTCATATTAGTGTCTACTTCCAAAAAACTTAGTCTGTGCCCAGCTAGTGTGGCTCAGTGGATTGAGCATCATCTCATGCACCAAGAGGTCACCGGTTTGATTCCCGGTCAGGGCATATGTCTGAGGGGGCATGCAGGAGGCAACCAGTTGATGTTTCTCTCTCTCTCTCCTTTCCCCTTCTTCTCTCTCTAAACTCAGTAAAAACATTTTAAGAGAAACCTGTCTGTGACAAGTTTTCTGTAATATCAGGCTAAAACATCCTCACTGAGATTCAAAGGGACAATTTGAACCTGGTCTTGTCTAAAGAAAGGAAAATGCATTCATGATCTCTCTTATTTTTAACTTTGTATTTGTAAAGTTTTAAGCATACATACACAAAAAAATAGAAAGAATATAATGAAACCCAATATATCTAGCTTCAACAATATCAATGTATGACCAATCTTAATCATCTGAACATTCCCATATTATTTTAAAATAAGTCTCAGACATTATGTTATTTCATTCATAAATTCAGTGTACTAATGTTGGCTTTGAAATGCAATTCTCCTCCCAATTCAACTTGCATTCTCCTCCTAACCCAGTTCCTACACATCGTCTCATCTTTTCTTCCTCTTCCCACCACCATAGCTTTCAAAAGAGGAAGTATTTTAGGAGAAAGGGACAGTAATAGCAGAGAATGGAAAGGCCCTGGAATCAATCCATTCTTTCACTTACTCAACAAACATTTTATACCTGTCATCTCCCAGAGTCTTCGGATACTCAGTTGTTACTCATTTAAGTAACCGTTCAGATAGGTGATGACTTTGGTCAGAAAAAGTAACAAGAAAGAAGGGAGGAAGAGAGGGAGGAAGCTGGCCAGTCATCTAATGGTCACAGTGGAAAGTGTAGGGTAGAACACTTTCTGCTAGGTAGAACAAGGTTTTACTCTAGAAAGGACCTTCAAGAGGAAACTGAAGCCCAGAAATGAAGTGATTTAAGGTCATATAGCTAGTTAATAGCAGAGGTAGGCATACCATCCAAACAAGCTGACTCTAATACCTGTATAAATTATGATTATTCTAAACTTAAATAATGTGGTTCAAATGATTTAAAATTTAATTAAAACATTATATTTTATATTTCATTTTATCAAGTTATGGTACATTGGTAGCAAAGAGGAGAAAGTGCATTGGTTGAAAGAAGGAACTAGATGAATCTATGATAACATTGACATTGAATTATTTCCATTAAAAGGTCTGCTTCCTTCACCAGATAGGAAACTCCATAAAGGTAGGGGATTATTTTATTCATCTTTGCATCCCTAATGCCTGGCCTGGTGTCTCTAATGCCTAAATGAATATATGAATGAATGGAATTAGGAGGCTTAGATTCTAAAATTGACTGCCACTGGCTAACTTTGTGACTTTCAGCAGAGTCATTAAAAATATCATTGACCTTTTCTATAATAGACTTGTAAAAAATACCTTAAATTTCATCTATGCCAGCTACTCTGTGGGTCTTAGGATTACCTGGTTATTTGGAACACAGACTCATTGCCAACATTTTACTAATAATACCTATGCTAGTTTTGCTATATTCCTAAAACAAAGGTTGAATATTTAAGGGAAATTGCTTCTTATAGAGAAGTCTAAGTAGAGTTGCACCATGTCACGGGCAGTGCATTAACAGAATCTTTATGTTTACCTTCAGGAACTGCTTGGATCAGTTACTTATTTCTGTCTGGCCAATTAAATTTTAAGGTAGAGCCCATAGGAACTTGACACTTTACCCCTCATTTCTGGATAAATATAAGAAGTTTGCCAGGGGAAAGGGAACTACTGTGTGTGAAATGAACCCAGCAGTGACTAGATCAGATTATTCAACTTGTTAACCTAAAAATAAAAGATCTTTCTAAGTGAGAGGCCCAGAACATTTATTTGAGATAGAAAACAATAGCTTTGGGGGGAATCACTGACTCAGGCAGAAAGCCAAATAGTGTTCCAATCAGAAGACAAAAACAAGGGTTTTTGGCTTTTTTATGAAAAAGGAAAGGGGGGAAATTACATCAGTAAAAGGAAAGCATTTCTATTGGTGCAGAAAGGCTAACATAGTGACACTAATTTTAAAAAATATTTAAAATTTTCAGTCCATTAGTCATAATAGCTGCTTTCTTGTTATGTTTGCAAACAGTTCTTTGGGACGCAATGTTGATTTAGGCCCAGTCCAAAGGTTATGTTGCCCTGTTTTAACAATCCAAAGGTTTGAGACCTAAGATGTACAAGGCAGTTCCTCTGGGATGGCAGCTCTAGCTTCATTTAAAGTGGCTACATTTATATTATTTTAAACAAAATGATCATCAGGTTACATTGCTCTTGTCTCATCTGGAGTGGGATTTTCCTACTCTCTTTTTTTTTACTTGAGAGTGAAGGTCTTGAAGATGGATCTGCTTTTACCTTATTAACACCTTGAGACAGATTTGGGGCCTGGGGGAACGGGGTGAGCATTTTGAGACTCCACTTCTGGTCCTAGCCCTGCCACTAATTGTATGACTTTTAGTCTGTTGCTTCTCTGGAACTAATTTCTTTACTTATAACATCAACAGGTTATCTAACTGATTATCTCTTAAATTCTTTTTTGTACTAACATTCTTTGAATTTCTTTTGTTCTAAGGATAAATCCTCAGCTAAGCTGTTCCTCTCTATTTCTTCCTGGATTGACTTTCTTCTGTTCATATTTATTAAGTACCTCCATGATTTTGGAGGGCAGGGCCTGGGTTTTTTACTCATTTCCCCCCCAGGATCTAGCACAATAACTAAGCAGGTGATTTCAACTAGGGTTGAAGTTAGTTCCTGTGAAGATACCACCTTTGTCTGGAGGAGCTCACAGTTTAGAGGGGGAAGTGCCAAGCATCATTAATTAATCACTTAAGTAAAAGCCTAGGATAGAAAGGATAACAGGAAAACTGGTTCTTGCCTTCCTTACCACTTATATCTTTCAACAGGAAACATGAGAGAGCTTGTACTAGTCTATGCTCCTTGAGCGCTTTCACCGTGCCTTCGCTTTCCATGTGTTGTTTCAAGTAATACACACACCGACCTTGTGTTCTGTAGCAGTGTTACCTGCTTCACACTCAAACAAGCACAGAGAAATTAAGTAACTTGCCCAGGTAACACCGCTACAACTGAGAGGAAGGTCTGAAACTAGGCAGCACAACTGCAGAGCCCGAAATCCACTGGGCAGAAGAGTCAGAAAAATCAGAACAAACTTGTGATTTCTCCGAGGGGACAGCCGAGTTCGGAGGAGTGATGAGTTCAAGGTACAGAGCAGAGGCAAGAATCTGCAGAAGACAAGGAGCAGAAATTGGCAAAGAAGTTTGGAAAAAAAAAAAAATGCAGTTCTCCGAGCTGGATTACACAGGCAGCGACTAGGAAAGCAGGGGGGTAAAAACGGGTAAACAAGATCTGCAAAGCTCCAGGCTCCAGGGGAAACCAGAACAGATCGGAAATGACATCAAAAGAGGGGTTGACGCTACGCGGGACAGCAGGGCCGGGGCAACCGGCCGGACGTGAGGCACAGGAAGTCCCGCCCTGAGGGCGGGGCCAGGTTGTGGGCGACGCGATGAGCGGGGCGGAGCTTCTCTGGTCCTGGAACCTGGGATCCCCGACAGGTAACCTGCTGGCCGAACCTGGACCCGGGCAAGGGTGGGAATTAGAGTAGCTGCCCCAGTTTGCTTCGGGCTCCACGCTCGGCCCGGGGGAAGAAGAGCGCACATTAGGGGGTGTCCTGGGGAAAGGCTCCTTGGCGTGGGACGCCCGCGGGTGATTGGGATACGAGGAACCTTGCAAACGGGGTCGCGAGGGCCCAGGTCGTTGAGGAAAGATAGGCTGAGTCTCCGAACAATCGGTCATAGCTGGGAGTCATGGGCTCCGGAGCACTGCGCTCGGGGATGGAGAGATGGAGCCTGGGCACTGAGATGAGCTGACCTAGAGTTCATTTCCACTTGCACTGACCCCCACTGCTGTTCTGCTAGTAGGGTACAGAGACCTCGTCTTTTCATCTGTTCATCCAGGACAGTGCTTTGCCAGTATTAGGCATTCGTTAGATGCTGTCGAATACGAACTAATGAACGCACGAAGCTGACTCTGCCTCAAGGGGGGTCGGGGCAGGTGTGGATAACCTCCCGAATTGTAGTACCCCTCCCTCTGCATGTAGAAGTGACCCCCGTGTAGTTTGTTGACCAGTGGTTTATGAGGACGCCGGTGTAGTAGAGATTCAGGACATTCTTTTGAGGTTATTCAAATTTAGAAATGTATCTTCATGTTTTCTTCTGGTGTGGGTAGAGAAGATACGGCGATTAATTTGGCTTCTTTCAGAGTCCTTCACTTTTCTGGAAAAGTGATACCCGGGAGGAGTTATCCATCAAATGATAAGCTGCAGTTTTTGCCCTGAGCTGCTACTTTGTGTTCTGAGTGCTTTCTTTTCATAAATATAAATTCACTTTCCTTTTTCTGAATATTTTCTTTTTTATATTGGGGTACTTCTTACATTGGAGATGTACATGAGAATTATTTCATAATAAAGATGAAAATAGTAATTTATGAAAATCCGGTCAGAGGTTTCACCTGGTGTGTTCACGTAAGGTTAACTTCTTCCAAACAGTGTAGGAAGCCTCCAAAGAATAAATCCCGGAAGATTAAATTGTTTCCTTTGTATTTGTATAGCTGTCTAAAAGGTGATGATGAGTGGGAATAGATCTAAAGAACAAATACTAAAACCAGATTTATTTTTGGTTGTCAGGCTATGTAATGGGATCTGGATGTGAATCACTATCTAGATGCAGTCCCATGAAGTGATAATAGCTCCTTGCAGGTTCTAGAATCGTATCCTTAAGTTGGATATAATGGAGTAGGAAAACATGAATTTATGGCTTTGTTTGTTGGTTGGTTTTGTTTTTCTTTTGTACAAAGAAGAAACTAGTAAGCATTTTTAGATTTTAAAAAATCAAAATGTTCATAAAAATAGGTTGGACAATCAAGAAGTAGACATGCAAATAAATATTGCAGTCATTTAAATTTTAAAAGTTTGCCTGCCTTTCAAACTTGTTTTCCCAGTTTCTGGGAAGTGTTGGTGTCCAAATTACCCCCCATCATTGTTTGTGCTTGTTTTGGTGTCAACTTTGCAATGCATATAAATATGGTATAAAGTAAGGTTTTGAGATCCTCTAGATTTACATTAATATTAATGTATTACTTAACAATAAAGCCTAATTTTGCTACCTTAATCTGCTGTTCAATGTCATGTCCATTTATTTTGCACATCTAAATGTCTGTTTTCATAATAATATTTATTGTAACTATTACTCATAATAAATTGGTATCCAAGTGGTAACTTAGGTGTATGCATTGACATTCTTGAGGTTTTCAGTTTTGCAGAACACTGATATCCATGGACTTCATTTAAAGAAATCTACGGACCATTAATGGACACAAACATGAGTCATTTTGTATTGTGGCATTCAAATCCTAGCACTTTGGGAAAGGTAAGTTATTGACTGTGTTTTATGTTCGATGAGAGAATAGCCCTGGATTGGACTAGGAAATTGTAGGATTGTGACCGAAAAATCTAGGCTGAATCTCTTTAAATTATGTTTTAATGTGGACCTTCCAAAGAGAGGTTTGTTCTGTGTTTGTGAGGCAGTCATTACTATTTCCCTATAAGATTGATCAGAAATTAAAGAGATTGACAAGGTATATTATTCCTGGAAGATTACTACTGTGCTTCTTTTCTTCTTCTTCTTCTTTTTTATTTGAGAACTCCTTTCAAGACTTTAGAGTCTGTCAACCTATGGATGCTCTGTAGGAATGGGGCCTCAAATAGTCATTTTAATAATCTTACATACAACTTTGATTCAATGATAATATAGGTCTCAATTCTTCTGGCCAATTTTATGCCTTAATTTGAAGCAAGGAAAGAGGCCCCAAAATGTCTATTTTTTCTTTATCCTGTCTTATTAGTGCTATTTTCTTTTTTTTCTTCTTCTTTTCAAAAATCTCTTCGGTGATTCATTCCTCATGTCTTTTATCTTTCTATCCCAGAGAATAAAATTTCTGTCCTTTACTATTTTACCTTTTCTAGCTTAGGGGTTTGTTAATTTTAAAAACTTTAACTTTTAACTTTGTGGTAACGTTTGGCAACTTTTAATCGCTAAGCACTAAACTTGTGATTTTTTCTGGTCTCCTTTGTAGATACGCTGGCTTCTTACTTAGAAATTGTTTCATTCCAAAGTCAGACAGTAGTTCCAGAAATTCATCTTTCGGGTATATTTGCACATACACACAAAAATTTGTATTTAAAGATCTTCATCATCATATTATTTTAAATGTAAAAAAAATAGAAAACTAAAAAATAGCCTAAACATTCCTCCACTAAGGTCTGATTAAATAAATGCCTTCATACAATGTAGTACTTCACAGCTCTTAGAATGAAGCAGATCCATAGGTGGAAATATGGAAAAATCTCTGTGAGATACATTGTTAACTGAGAAAAACAGTATAGAACTGTATATTAGTATGTTTACAAAAGCATACATTTCTATATACATGCAATATTTTTTAAATCTTTATAATATACTACTATGTTATATCTATATATGTATGTGTGTATGTGTATATATGTATATATATGTATGTATTATATATACATATATATGAATGATTGACACAGGTACTCTTGAGGAATAAGACTACAGGTCTAGAGTAGGAAGAAATATTTTTCTGTATACTCTTTCTGGTGGATTAAATGTTTTTTTTACTGTGAATATGATTTTATTTTTATAAATACTAAAAAACAAATAGCAAAGCTTTAGGCTAATTTCATAATTATGGGAGCCTACTACTATTCCTTATGACTTAGAATTATTTGCACTAGTCAGAGTATTTGGATTGCACAAGTGAGTTTTTTTTGTTTTTACAGAGATGCAGGGAAGGTTTTGTGATATTATAATAGGTTTTGAATCTTGACATTAGATTATTACTCTTTTTTTTATTAATTTATTTTTGTTACAGATGTTTCTCCTTTTTTTAGATTATTACTCTTAATACGGATTTGTGATGAACTAAGTGCTTACTGCTGCCAAATTCAATATAGCTATATAATTTGTAGCATATTGTTGACTTCATGAAGTGATGTGGATGATACTTCTGTTTGCAAGCTAGGTTTGTCTTGCATTGGCAAGGTTCTTCTGAGCCTCTCATTATTACTGAATGGAATGAACTTTGTTTATTTGAATTACTCTTGAGTAACTACTCTTTAAACGGGTCATAGTTATTATTTCACTTTGTTTTGATTTTGGGGATTGGCTCAAGGCATTTCAAAGAATGGCTTATTCTCTCTGTTAGTAAAATTCGTAAACCAGAAAGATCATTTATATATATATATGGATAATCTTATTCTGTATTGACTATGTTACTTTTTAAAAAAAAAAGATTTTTAGAGGAAGGGAGAGGGAGAGAGAGAAACATTGACATGAAAGTGACACATCATTGGCTGACTCCTGCATGCCCCCCACTGGGGATCAAACCCAAAACCTGGGCATGTGCCCTGACTGGGAATTGAGCCAGTAACCCCTTGGTGCCTGGGACAGTGCCCAACCAACTGAGCCACACCGGCCAGGTTTGACTGTATCACTTTGAATTGGCTGATTATTTGCTTTGGAACTCAGAAAAAATTTCTGATGACTTTCACTTCTCTAGCCATCTTTGTCTTTCCACACTTTCATTGTAGACAATGAAATATAATAGTAATAGGTGAGTAAAAATGAGTTATACAAGAAATTTAAAGATATAGTAATCTTTGTTTTATTAGTAGAGGAATTTTATTTTAGACCTGCTTGAGAATAAACTATGTACAATACCTACCCATATGATACCACTAATTGTATAACTTGTTAAAATCAAAATGAGGCTGCTAATCTAGGGGCTGCGTCATGATTAATGGAATGGACTAGGCTATGTTATACAGGTGATTTATACCATAGTTTGGCAGAGTATTTGCTTAGAATCATTGCTGTTAAATGATGCTTTGCTTCTTGAGATCTTTGGGTTTAATCACAACTGCCACAAAGTGAAAGACATTGGACAGGATGCCTAGAGTGGGACTCCTTATTCTTGCTAAGAGAATGGATAGCAATGAATTGAATCCAAGGGTTGATTGTGTTTTCCTGAGTCAGGGTGAGTATGGTAAAAGTAACATATAGAAAGAAAGGAGATGAGCATGAACTTAAAATTTACAAGTGGATAACATAGAATTGGGGAAGGTATATAGATGTCTATGCACATGCATGTGTATCTATGCACATAGATATATAATATATTATTATATAAAACATATATATTATTTTACATATAATATTTAAAATTTTTTCTAGAAAACAAAAAAATTCTAGGAAGATAGTTAATCCAAGAGAAAAAAGTCAGAATTTTAAGGCCTCAGAGCTCGGCCTATTGTAGGCTAACTCATGATTTGTGAGAGCAGCTTAAAGAATTTTGTACATTTTAGGATCATGACAGGATTTCAGTGATGGGAAGGTAGACAAAAACCTGAGAGTGAGAAGATTTTAATCTAGCAATGTGTTATGGTTAAGGGTATCTTTTAAAGATTCTGCTTTGTGGTATTTTGGAAGGAAGGGAAAAAGAAGGGAGAACTCAAACATATGTTGCTGTTCAATTTGGATCTGAGCTATGTCCATAAATCTTACCTAGCATTCCAATTGTGTATGACCATGACTAGATCTGTTAACCTATCAAACATGAATGTCCAAAATTGGTTTCATTATTAGATATTCCTTGAAGGAAAAAATAATTGTTTTAATATTTTTTGTAACTATATGAAGGACAACAGTGATGATCGAGATTGAGGGGACTGGCACTGTTTTGTTTAGAAAACAGAAGACTTTGGAAGAGTTGGAGAAACTCCCTGGGAAGTACGTTTATTTCTTTTGAGGCCAAAATTGCTTCTAACTGAGAGAAGGTATAAACTAGTCAACAGTGGAGTAGATGGTGTCAAGAGGCAGTGGACTGCAGGTCATTAGGGTTGCTTAAGCAGGGTTGGAACATCAGGAATGCTGCCCAGGGGACTTCTCGCTGTATGGGAGATTGTACTAGATTAGTATGAAGTCCCTTTCAAACCCAAAAATGTTTAAAGTGGTTTTTAAATAGTACTAGTAGATGTTCTGTTATCTCTGTATTTAAATACTGATAACTAACTTATCCACCAAGCTTCACTTACCCATAACCAGGAAATAAACTTAAAAATTAACCTGAGCTCCTAAAATAGAAGACACAAACTATATTCTTTTCTCAGGTCCTTACTCAGTTTATTTACTTTTTTGTAGACATATGTAGTTCTAACAGGCTTATTTAACTGGTATTAGAAGCAGCAAATTGTTGGTATACCTATTAGGAGCAGGCACATTGACAAGCAAGGGCAAGAAGAAAATCAGAAAGCTGACCAACTCATTTTAAAATTGTAACCTGGGCTCATTTGATTAGATGAAAACAGCTCTGTGTTAATGGATATTCAAAATGATAAGCTTGACTGAACTTAAGTTATATTCAGTATTTTCTATTTCAGAAGAATATAAAATTTTAGAAAGATCTCTCTTTTTTTTTTTATCCTCACCCGAGGACATTTTTCCATTTTTTGCTCAGGTAGAGTGGGAGGGAGAGAGAGGAACAGAGAGAGAGAGAGAAACATCGATGTGAAAGGGACACATTGAGTGGCTGCCACCCACACAACCGACCAGGGCCGGGGACAAACTGCAACCGAGGTACGCGCCCTTAGCGGGAACCGAACCCGGGTCTCTCAGGACCGCAGGCCAGCGCTCTAACCGCTGAGCCAAACCGGCCAGGGCTAGAAAGATCTCTTTATGTATAATAGAAAGAGCAAGGATTCTAGAGTAGTAAAGACAGGTTTGAATCTGACCTCCAGTATCTACTAGGTATTCTATTAATTAAGTTTATTATTCATTCTAAGCTTTAATTTCGTCTGGAAAATAGGAATTTACTGAAGAATAAAGATAATGTATGTAAAAAGTTTATTATTATTTCATTATTACCATAAAGCTTACTCTACCTTGAATAGTTTAATTGTACAGGTAATCCATGTCTACTTTACAAAAATTAGAGAGAGAGAGAGACAGAGGGAGAGTGAAATATTAGGATATATAGATCACCAAAAAGATAAAAGGAGTCAAGTCACCAATAATCTACCATTGTTAATATTTTGGTGGCATGCTTTTTTTTAAAACTGCTTTTACAGGATTGTACTTCCAAGAAGTGACGGTTGAAACTGAGTCCACATTACCACTGTTGGGAAACTTAAATTAGTCACTGCACATTCTGATCAGGAAATATGCAGTGAAAGATTGTGACAGGGCACAAGGCTGATTTGCAGAAAGCCTTAGTCCTGGTAAATTTTCTTATATTAAAACGAGTTTTGTAGAGCAGTAGATGTAGGTTGGTGTTCTGGAGCCGGAAGACCCGAGTTTGAATCCTGACTCCACAGTTTGGGGTCAAGATTTCTTAATTTCTCTGTGCCTCAGTTTCTTCATCTCTAAATTGAGGATAATAGTAGTATCTAATTCATGGGATTGCTGTAAGGACTCAGTGGATTTACATAAAGTACGTAGAGCAGGGCCTGCACAAAGTATGGACTCAGTAACTATTACTTGCTATTTTTATTATTAATTTTTAAAAGCTTAAGGTTTTCTTGGGGAAAAAAGGCAGGTTTATAGGAGCATGTACATTAAAAAGAAGCAAGTTAGAAATAGCACAGAAGTAGTCAGTAAGATTTATGATACGTTATTCATTTGGGCCTGCAGAGTGGTCTGAATTTTTTTCACTCTAAGGCTTTGTTATTTTTTCTTCCCTGTTTAAATAGTTTCAAACCATAATATTCCTAGTCCAGTTTCTTTCTCTACCTCATGAAATCAACTTCATTTTATGCCATCTCTTCCAACAAATATTTTGGTTGTGCTTTCAAAGATCAGAGACTCTTTAAGACAAACACATATCTTGAATAGTGATCACATACAGGAAATTATCATTAAATCCATTTATCTTATTACAGCCCAACGTGGTTCGGTAAGAACTTTAAATTCTGTTTTGAGCAGGGGTGGGGAACCTTTTTTCTGTCAATGGCCATTTGGATATTTATAACCTCATTCAAGTGCCATACAAAATTATCGACTTAAAAACTAGGCAGCTATGTTTGGTCAGGCTAATTTGGTGAGGCGAATGATGTTAGCTGGTATTGATTTTGAGGGCCTTATGGGGCCCTTAGGCTGGATGTTCCCCACCCATGATTTAAAGTGAAGAATATTAATAAAAGAGAGAAGCCAATGAACATATTAAGCTATTCTGTACACTGTAGTCTTTAAAAATCTCTTTGTTTCATTTTCTTTTTCTTTATTTCTTTTTGGTTTTCTCTTTTTGTTTTTTTCAACATGGTATCTAGTATTCTGATTAATTGCTGGTGAAAGAGGTATAGCTTTTCAAAATCCTTTAAACAATTTTATTAGACTTGCTAGTAGAATTTTTTTTTGGTGTGTGTTTTGTTTTGTTTTAAAGCATCAAGTGCAAGTTTTTGAAGACCCTGAGGCCTACCATCATTACGCACGCATTCAAGATTTGAGTTTGAATAACTTCATCACGACTTAGAGCCTCTTCAAAAGCCTCAAGTCTCATCTGCATTAAAGCTCTCCATTGAACTCTGTCACAAAAGTAAAAGCTAAAGGGACTAAAATCCATTAATACATTCCATTTTATATTCTTTTGTCTGCAGTTTCCTTCACCTTTAGGGCCTTTATATTGCTTATGTTCCATAGACTAGAGCCAAGGAAACAGTGCTTTCCAAAAGATATATCCTGTGGCCATAAGTTTTCATTAGTAGAGAAGCATAAACTTAGCAGGATAACTTTAGAATTGGGTCTTTTGCTGTGTCCTATAAAAACTTGAATCAACAATAAGAAAAGGAGGATGAAAAGGAGGATAATTTAAGGTCAAATTATACTCTCTGAGGCTATGTGGTTTAGAGAAAAGAGCCTCAACCTAGAAGTTAATGACTATTCTTTAAAAAAAAAAATTTTTTTTTTTAAATTTTTCTTTATTGACTTTAGAGAGAGAGAATGGGAGAGGGAGAGAGAGAGAGAAACATTGATGAGAGAGAACATCGACTGGCCGCCTCCTGCATGCCCCCCACTGGGGATCAGGCCCACAACCTGGGCATGTGCCCTGACCGGGAATCAAACCAGCGACCTCTTGGTGCAGGGTCGATGCTCAACCAGAGCCACACTGGCCAGGCATGATGATGATTCTTCCTGCCTCTTCCTAGATAAAATTTGATAACTGGGAAAGTCACTTAACCACTCTGAACCTTAACTTCATCTGTAAAGTAAGTCTGATAATATTTTCCCTGCCTACCTCACAGGGTTGTTGTGAGGATCAAATGAAATAATGTACATAGAAAGGGCTTTTAGATAAAATGTGCAGGACAGGCATAGTTGCAAGTCATCCCAAGTTTGGGGCCTGGGAAGGGAGGTGATTTAAGCACACCGAAAGCACCATGTCCAGGCGGATACATGGTAACAAGGCTATGTTAATTTTCATTTTCTCTGAGTACATAGAGTACTTTTGTTGGCTAATTCTAAGCAGGAGGAAGACTATACATTTCCCTAAAATTGTAAGTTAGCATTGATAATGCTCTAGAGCTGTTATGTGTTGTAACTTATTTGTGGTTTGCAAAACTTGTTATTAAGTTGTGACCTGCATTTTGTTGTTGTTGTTGTTAATGAAAGAACATAAACCAGAAAATTTCACAATGCATCCTACCTGGTAAAAATCAATTTTATTTTAGCTATATATGTGTGTGGAAGTGTGTGTTTGTATTTGTGTACTTGATCATTGAATAAAATGCATTTTCCTATGAGTTGCAGTTGCTGTTCTAGGAGTATCATTTTAGTACTAATGCCTTTCTACGCATTTAGATTTCCTGGAGACTTTCTTTTCACTTAATACTACTTATAACAAAAGAATTAACTTTACTTTGACTTTTGGTCTAATTAACGAGATATTTTTTAAAATTTCAGAGTACAGAGAAAGCCTATAGGTCCTCTGGATATTTCATTTAACATTCTAATACCACTTACTCTGACACCCAGGCTGTTAATAACATTTAAGGTTGGTTCAACCTCATACTAGTAGAAACATTATATGAAAATGTTTTTTCCTTTTTTTTTTTTATCCTCACCTGAGGATACTTTTCCATTTATCCTCAGTTAGAGTGTGAGGAAGGGGTGGGGAGGGGCAGAGACAGAGAGAGAGAGGAAGAGATGTGAGAGAGACACACCCATTGGTTGCCTCCCGCACATACCCTGACAGGTGGGGGGGTGAGCCTGCAACCCAGGTATGTGCCCTTGACCAGGAATCGAACCCATGACCCTTCACTGTCCAGGCCAATATTCCAACCACTGAGCCACACCAGCCAGGGCCATTTGTTAATATTCTTACCCACAAAACTAAAGCTTCACGAGGACAAGGACTGATGTGTATTTTATTTACCAATGTATGCCCAGTGCTTTGGGAAATCCTAGTAAATAGTATGAATTCAGTAAATATTTATGGACTAATTTTTTCCACAACTACCACTTATCATTTAGATGTTTCACATACTACTGTAAATTCTAGGTTATTTAACTTCTGTTCAGAGCCTTCTAATTGCTTCTCATCTCACTCCAGTTATAAGTTGAAGTCCTTACAGTGATCTCCCAGGCCTTATGCGATCTGCCTTTGCTCTGCCCTATCACTCTATCATCTAACAGTCAGCCCCAACTACTCTGTTCTAGCTAATCCTCAGAAATGCAACGTGTTCTTCTGCCTTAGGAACTTTGTACGTGATATTCCCTCTACTTGGAATGCTCTTGCCTTAGATATCTATGCGGTTTAATCCCTCATTTTCAGATCGTTCAAGTCATGATTTGTCATCTCAGTGAAGCCCTCTCTGGCCATTTTAAATTGTAGCCTCACCACCACCCACGCCATTCCTATTCCTCTTCCCTGCTTTACTTTTCTCCATGATACTTATCTCTGACACTTTACCAGTGTTTTCCCCAATACCCAGAGTAGTGCCGGACACATGGTAGGCACTTAAAACTTATTTATTGAATGAGTGAATTTAACTTATACTCACAGAGATGCATATTTGCAACAATGTAACCCATAACCTGAGTTGGTGGAGACTTAATATTTTTAAGTAATTTAAAAAGTTAATTAAGTTTATATCTTGCTCTGTTCTAAAAAATATTTGAAGTGGCTTCTAAAAATACATATAGTACAAAAGGATGAAAACACATAAAGAGAACAGCATGTAAAGTAATAGTAACATTAAACTGGGTAAAGTTATATAGAACATCCTCCATAGTGGTAAAGGCAGGTTGTAAATTTGACTCATTAAAGAGTTATCTTGTTCAGAACTGGTAATTGGACTGGAATCATAAATTTTTTTTCTGAGCCACAGGTCACAGACATTTGAGTCTTACAAAGGAACCCAGAAAAACTATTGGATTTAACTATAAAGTTGTGAAATTGGTCTTCTAGAATAACTTGCTTTCTGTATTAGGACATTTCTTATTGGTGTAAAAAATACACAGAATTGACAGCCTCTGCTTATATTATGTCCAGAACATTTCCAAGGTTGATTCAAACTTAGTAATTGGATATTTTTTAACGTCTGCTGTCAAAGATACCAACCAGCACATTAATTACTCTAGTTCAGTGGTTCTCAACCTTCCTAATGTCGTGACCCTTTCCTCATGTTGTGCTGACCCCCAACCATAAAATTATTTTTGTTGTTACTTCATAACTGTAATTTTGCTACTGTTATGTCTTAGGTGACCCCTATGAAAGGGTCATTCGACCCCCAAAGGGGTCATGACCCACAGGTTGAGAACCACTGCTCTAGTTTCTCCGACTTTAATCATGAGGTAGTATGAGATTCCACTGGTAGTGGCTTCCTTTGTTTTGAGGTAGATACTTGATGACTTAGAAATAGGTATTTTTGTTTTGCAATATATACATAGATCATCATGTTGTACACCTTAAACTAATACATGGTTATATGTCAGTTGTATTTCAAACTGGTTTTAATACAATTATCAGCTGAACTAGGATGGAGGACTGGGAGTAAAGCAGGTAACCTTTCACCAATATGGTGGCCAAAATCAGAGCTACACTGTGTGAAGTTAAATGGGATTATACAGTATATGAGTATATGTCTCTCCATGGGATATATACTTTTCTAATTCTTTTTTGTCTCCCCCCACCCCCACCTCTGTCATTTGAAACTGAGTCTGAGAATTGTGGAGACACCTGCAGGCCAGAGAGAAAGCAGGGCATGGACTGCAGAACTCAGTAAACTCTGCAGTACTTCACTAAACGAAGCTGGTATTTTGAGGCAAAAGATGAGAATATTTGCTAAGTGGTGTTCTGCTGGCAAAATATGCTCTTATTTGACTTTGACTTTATTTTTAACTTTTCTCTTTTCTACCTAAAGATAAACAGTACTTTTTGAAATCAAATCTTCTGTCCTGCCTCATTTTTCAGGGTTAAAGAGGGGAATTAAACCAATAGTAGACTTTTAGAGAAATAATGGAAATATGTTTTGTTTTTTAATTTTGCTCTACATATTTCAAGGGAAAAAAATGTGAGAAGACATAATAAGAATACCACAGAACCATTAAAAGGGACAGTTCTCATAAAGGGCAAATAATTTTACCAAAAGCATTATGAATAACAGGTTGCTGGTTAAATGATCATATTGGGTTATATTTAATATATAAGCATACATTATTCTAAGTAATTTAAAATGTATTAATTGAATGTGTTTTACATATTTACTGGAACTTTATGCCCATTTTTTAGAGAAATGGAACATCTTGTTATTTTGGTGTTTGATGAGTAACAGTAGAAACCTGAGAACAGACAGACAGAAGTCACAGTGTAAAAATAATGCAAAAGTCATCATATCTTCTAGCATAAGTGGTATAGAAGCAGAAAGATCTTGTTTTCAGTAAAAGTGTTGAAGAGGCAGAAAAAAAATATCTCCCAACGTCTTTGCTGACACAAATTTTGCTATAGTGTGGACAAAAGAAATATGTCCAGGCTTTTAACTCACTATTTCCCAACTGTGTTATTCAAAATGCTGACACAGCTAAAAAAAGACTCTAAACCAAAAAGGTTGTGTAATAAGTTTGGAAAATGTTGCATTCTGTTTTGGAAATTTATAACACATCTTTCAAACTTATCTGTTGCCAGAATACTTTTGCTCATTAGATCTTAATAGCCCTTAGAGTAGTGTATCAGGAAATATTGTTCTAGATTTTAAAATGTATTTAAAAATATATACATACATATACATATGTATAATAATATATTCTACAACAGTATTTGATATACTCTAAAACTAAGAAAATAAATCCTGATTATCAATAAAATTTTTGTTCAATATACTTAATGAATATATCTGTTAAAATATTAAAATTATTCCAAAGTTGGTACATATGTACTAAATTGAATGTGTGCTCATTAAATAATATGTGCAGTGCTGGTATAGACAATCACTATCTTTTCCTGCAAACACTTTCTTTACTTGGCGTCCAGGATATGACACCCTTTAGGCTTACCTCCTACTTCTCTGACTATTTCTTCTACCTACACTCATTTCTCTTGATGATCTCATCTAGTTTCAAGGCTTTAATACCATCTTTACTTTACTTTAAAACTGTTATCTCCGCCTTTCTGCTCCGAGCTGACTCTGAGGAGGGCAGTGTGGTCTGGACGGCGCAGCGGAGACCTCCACCCAGGACAGCTCCCCCCTCCCCGGGCCTCTCCCCTCTTGCCCGCCAGTCCCCTCGCCTCTTGGGCCTCTTGGGCCTCTTGGGCCTCTTCGATCTGATATAGTGGGCGGAGGTGAGAGCAGGCCCGGGGAGGCTGATTACTTCGAAGGAGAAGGAGCCGCATTCGCGATCTAGATGATAGAGGTACTCACAACAACGGCCTCTCAGAAACTGCTACACCACCTGAACACCCTGTTGAAACAGGAGCCAGAATGTCAGCCAAAGGGTGCGGCTGGAGGCTCATTGAATCTGCATACGAAAAGGC